CCGTGTTCAGTGGGGCTGATATTTAGAGTAAGGAGCCATTTTTACCTTCAGTTTTTCCCACAGGTGTTAACAGAATTCTGGAACTTCTAGCCGTTGCTAAGTGCTTTTGCAATAAGTACTTAGTTTAGTATATAAATATATGAGATGAGTGTTTTGAGTGATCTTCTGAGTTTTGGCAGTTGCAGTCACTAACAGTGTGGCAACAATTCCCCTGCGCTAAGTAGTTTTCTGTAGGGTTCCCATTCCTTTTGTGTGCTTTCTTTATGTCATCTAACCGTGGCCACACTATTAAATGCCCTGGCCAAGAGAGATAGAGATAAAACTCTACTGATAAAGATTAGCTTTAGCTTTAGATTTAGATTTAGCTCTACTGATAAAACCCAGTAGCGCTAAAAATAAATACAGTGGCATGAAGGAGGATTGTATCCTTCTCTTTGCTGAAGGCATGTGCCTGCCATTTTTACCTGAGCTACTGTAACTCACTGGTAAATGTTAGGTAGCACGTCTTTGCCACATCCTTGGTGGTTCCAGCATTATCACTGCTCCTAACCCAAGTGCAGGGCTCTTAACTGCAAAGTAGCTTTACATTTTGAGTGGTCTGTCCTCCATTCCTGGAGTGCTGAGCAAATGAAGAGTTTCTGGGTACTATTTTGGGCAAAATGCACTGTGTTGGAGATATGTCATTATGTTTTTTTCCCCCTTATGTTCAGTTAAAATGTTCCTTATTGCAACTTTTTCTTCTTTTTTCCTCGTTTCCTTTAGCTAGGCACCTATGAGATGAGTCTGGCTCCATCTTCTCTATTATTCCCTTTTTTCAGTAGTTGAGGACAACTGTTAGGTCCCCCCATGCTCCTTTCTTTCAGGCTGAACCAAGCCAGGTCCCTCAGTCTCTCTTTTCACATCGTCTGCTCCAGATCTATAACCATCTTGGTGGCCCTCCTCTGGAACCTCTCCAGTATCAGCATGCTGAGGCCCCACACCTGCATACAGTGATCCAGGTTCCTCACGCATGCCAAGCAGAGGGAAGGATGGCTTCCATGACCTGCTGGCTACTCTCTTGCTGATGCGGCCCAGTAAATGGTTAGCCTTCACTGCTGCAAGGACACACTGCTGACTCATGTTCAGCTTGTCCTCCACCAGCATTTGTCCTCCAACCAGCTCCACCAGCAAAGCTGGAAATTCTTGAGCAGTCCCTTGAGAGGCTACATCCTTCTCCCTTCAGTTTGCAGCTACAGTGAAACTGGAGAAAGAAAGAAGAGAACTTGCAGGTTCTTCCTTTGTAATACCTCATTCTTTGGAGCTAATTTTGTGTTTTGCCCAAAAGCCTGACTGGTCTTCAGCACATGCTGTGAAGCCTGAACCTCTTCCCAGCCTCAGAAAGAGGGAAGACAATTGTATGGTTGGGGTAAGTAGAGAGTGGGTCTACTGTAAGTTGAGGCATGATACTTGAAAGAAACATCTGTTCCTGCTTGTGCTGAGGGGCTGAGCAGTTGCTGGTTTTCATTCAGTTGACATGTATCTCATATATACAAAAGATGCCTGATGCACAACTGTGGGTGCTAATCAACAATATAAAAAAAATATGAGCATAAAGCTCTTAAATCCTATCATTTTATTGTATATAAATGTGCTGTTGAAAAATACAGTAGGGAAAAAAATCCCCAAAGCTCGCAATGAAAGTATTTCTTATGTATACACATAAGGAGTGCATGATGATAGAGTGCATAGTAAACAGAAAGGTGATAGAGTGCTAAAGCTGAAAGAAATTTCTGTTAATTTATGAAAATGAGGGTGCAATCTTTTGACAGACAAGTTGCTGCAAATGTTTTTGAGCAATATATACACATTTTTCTAAGCAGAACAAATGTAATTGTTTACAGAGCAGTGGTCGCTGTGAAGGACTTGTAGTACGCTTTCAGGATCAGTAGCAGCAGGCAGGTAATGCATTAGTTGCGCTTGACCTTTCTGAATAATAAGATTTTGCATTCTGCCTTCTGTGCTCTTAAATGAGAGCTTCCTTGCCAGTTCGCCCTTGGTGAGCCCCCAGCCACCACAGACACGTGGTCCACAGTGGGCAGCATGGCGTTACTGCTTCTCAACTTCTAGGTCAGTCAGAGTGGCTTGAGTGGAATAATTATATGTGTGCCTTCTGGCTTCCTAGCAGCTGGAATTACACCTGGAAACCCACTTCATGTACTTTACAGAGCCTGATAGAAAAGTATGACTGTGAATAAAAACACACCGAGCTTTATGTCCTCCACTAGGTCATTTTAAGTGATGTAACTGGGGTCCTTTAGTCCAGAGCCCGGTCTGGATTTTACCACAGTTTTCATCTTGCCACTATTTTTTAAAAGAAATCGACAGTGTTATTTTTCCCCCTTAGGTCTCAAGTCACAAGGCAAATTATTTTGGAAATGTAGATCAAATTATGGAAGATGATTTTTACTGGAGTTAAAGCAAACGAGCGGAATTTCTGATAATGCTTTACATTTGCTTTGGATTTTACTGATGGGTTGCCTCTGTATATCTGCAGTAATGTTTCTGAAGGTTTGACTGCAGCAATGTTTTTGAACGTTTGACAGCATTACAGAACTCGTGATGGTTCAAAGTGAAATGTGTTAACCTAGCAATTTAAAATTAAGGTCCTAAATTCATATTTAGATATTCAGTGAAGAACTGACACGTTTACCTGCTGTTGAATTCAGTAGAATTCAGAAAATTATATGGAAAGACAGTTTACCCTTGGCTACACTTGTAGTTAAAATGAGTTCAGCATCAGTTGTAACTGCTTTATCAGCAGCGGGTAAATTTGCTGGAGTAGACAAAGGTTCTGAGTTTCTGGTTTTTGCTCAATAGGAAGCAAATTTATGAACTTTTTTCATGTTTGAGTGTTATGACTAAATATATATTTCTCTGTCTCCCAGATGTTTTTTGGAAAGCAGGAAAGATTCAGCAGTCTTAGCAAAAAAACCAATGATCATTTTGGAAACATTTCACAATCCCCTTTCTATGTCAAGATTTCGTGCTGTACAGAAATAAATTAAGCAATGTTTTGGGGCCCAGCTCATCCGCCGTCCAGCTGTTGCAGATTTTATGATAAACTGCAGTTCATGTTTTTGGATAGAGAGGGGCATAGTAAGCTGCTGGCTGGGCTCTGCAGGGTGAAGGTGCTCAGAAAGGATGGGCAGGATCCTTTTGCTTCTCCCTGCCTTCTGCCAGGGGAGAACAACAGGAGCTAATGGTGCATCTCTCACCTGCACTACTGTCTGCTATTAACATCAGTGGCACTGTGTCCAACAGTGCCAAGTGGTGAAGCAGTGCATGCGTGGTGGCCCTGCTAACATCCACATGCAAAAGGAAGAGTGCAGAGGACTGTCCTTGTGCCTTGAGTTTGGTGTCAGTCCTGGAGTAGCTTGTCCATATGTAAAGGTGGGCTGAGCTATGGCAGCATGGACTTGATCTGATGCGTCATTTTTCTTCTGTTTGTTTCCACTTGTTTGAAAGGAATCTGTTTTTGCCTTGACTATACTTGCCTCCAAGGAAACATCTTTATTGCTTGCTTTCTTGCCATTTTCATTTGCTTTATGATGCCTTGGGGTGATCAGTGATAAATTTCACTACCTTGGGCTTTTGATTTGAGGTTTTCCCATACTGCCTGTGTTTTGCTCGTGGCTGTGACATTATAGATCTACATGGACTGGAGCTCTGGGCTGAGGTCTTGCCTTGCTTGATTTACCAGTTCTTACTACTTAAAGAGCCAGGATGCCCTCATCTAATACTGTCTCTCTTCACAGTAGCTTTCCCTGAGGTTCTGCTGTTTGTTTTCCTTTGAAGTCTTGAATTGAATAGCATTGTTCCTCAGAAAGTATGAGCTGTTGCTATACTTTTAACCAGGTGTACTTATCTGAAATTAAAATAAACCCAGACATTTGTTCAAGATAAGTTGCTATGGTTTTCAAATCAGCTTCCTGGTTAGCATTGCTAAGACAGTCAGAGGCTTCTGCCTTTTGAGAGGGGATCAGATTAATAGGATTGCTTGTATCAGAATACGTTGTCTTATCCAACAGTGAACACTTGAAAACAAATGGAAACTTTTAAAAAGAAGTATTGAAAAACAACTATTAAGATTTACGCCTTGTGGAGACTTGATTGATGTTAATAATTAAAATAATTTGTCAGTTTTGATAATGAGAATCTTTAATCCCAAATCCTGTACTTCTTTGAAATAGCAGTCAGCAGGATCCTTTCTACATAATGTGCTTTGGGAATTCAGTCCTCACAGGTAATAAATTATTAGAGTAGCTCTTCAGATTCGTATTACAAAACGCAGTTTTGACCCCCCAAAAAATACCACCCCAAAACCCACAGATTTACAAGTTTCTTATGAAAATGAAGTAATTTATATACATTATCTGAGAAGGTTTTTGATCTGTTTGTTTTGAAAACGTACTGATCCCCACAGTGTAACTGGAGGTAAGTTAAGGAGCTGTACAAAGATTTCTGCTCTTTGCATTGCCACTGCCATGGCCATGGCAGAAAAAGTTGTGGGTCTGTTCCCCAGAAAGACCAAGCAGCCACAGGTTTCTTTAGCCAACAGCAGCTGCATGTGGTCATGGCTGCTTCCCATCCACAGTAGGGCCTGTGAGATAAAATACTGCAGTGCTGAAAAGGGATATTCAGCCAAAGGAAAAACAGTGTAATCTCTTTGATCTCTCTGCTGGGTTGATGTCCTCCAGTTGCTATACAAAGGCAATTAAGGATATATATATAAATGCCTCTAACATGGAGCGTCTTTTCCATTTTTTCATTTTATTCTGAAAGTTGCACTTGCAAACCAGTTATATGTTGTGATACTGACAGGAGCTTCAACAATTTCCAGGGCTGGGGTTTCATGCCAGTGTTTGATTCTTCAGTCCTGTTGCTTCAGGTCATGGAGAGAGGTGCTGCCACCTCCCCTTCTCTGGGAAAACCAAGACACCACCTTGCTTTAGCATCTTTACCTTTGCCTGTGCTTTTGGTAGTGATGCACATGGCCATGATTTCCAGCAAACAGGGAGTTGTATTGCTTCCCAGGGATCTCTCGGGGGTGTCGCATAAGGAAATTATATTGACTTCAATATAGATCAATCCCTGGGGAAAGAGAGTGAGCAGAGTAAGCACACAGGACCCAGAGGACGAGGCTATACTCTGATTTGGGCTCTTTCTGGTTGATATCGGTGGCAGGCAGGACTTGGGCTGAATCCTTCTCAGCAGTCCTCCTCCAGCTACGTCACTGTCTCGTTCACCACAAGCTCGGTTTTCAGGAGCTCAGGAGCTTGGCGAGCAGCCATGCGGGTATGTGGCTGTATCTGGCACATTCGGTGTGTGTGATATCCTTCCTGTGACATGGCAACTGGAATTAAAGAGGAAATACTGACCCAAGGGAAAAAGTGAGAAAGAACCATCTCCTCTTAGGCCTAGTGAAAGCAAGAACCAGAGTCCTCCACTGGGCTTGTTATCACCTTGCTATTTAGTAAAAGAAAATACTAATTCGTGTAGAGGAAATAACCTTTCTGTGTCATCTGACTTGCCATTTTAAAAATTTTTAAACATGCAAACTCGAAGTAAATCTGATCTTGAAACACTATTTAGAACTGTAAAGTGAAAAAGTTTAATTTAGAAAATTTTGAAGCGAATTGTGGCAAATATTTGAAATCTGTTTTGTTCATAATCATTTTGATAAAATTAATTCGATAAACCAGCAAAAATTTATTAATAATTTGGACAGACTAAAATCTGTTTTACTGGTGAATAAAAAACAAAATATAACTGAAAAACTTGGCTTTGGTATTTGAAACCTCTCATTCCTTACCATTCTATATCCAGTTTTTATATCTATATTTATATAGCTATAAAATAGGTAATCATGTAAATAATGAAAATCTATTGACTGTAAAGACATTAAAACCACTAAAACATTGAAATTCTGGAAATGCTACAGAATCACACTTTACAAAAGCCTCTGATGTTTTCATATCATTTTAGTTTTACAAGTGAATAAGAACTGCTTTTTTATCATTTTCCAATGTGTAAAAATTCAACATTTGCTCCTCCGTTTCTCTCCTCTGCCTATATCTTAATTGCTCATCAGGCAGGAAGTTGTCTATCTGAAGTACTGTCCTCTTCATGATATACAGCAACATTTCCATAGGATCTGCCAATGATGAGATTATGCTTTAATTTCCCCAAACAGCTGGGTCTGCTTTGTTATGAATGGAAGCCATCGGGGAGTGTATCCAAATCTTAGTTCTCAGCCTTCCAAATCACATTAAAAAAATTATCACATGCCTGGGTGAGCACTTCTCCACCACTTTTAATTAATTCCAATTGTATGTTACCCAGTCCAAGAGATTTATTGGCTTTTTTTTTTTCATGTCTTAGTATCAGCTTTCAACTTCATTCGCTGTTCGAAGAAGTTCTTTGTAATTATTTGGGCTTCTCAGGAAGATATTCCCACCTCCATCTCTTCCAGCACTGTGTTTGTTTCATCCGTGAGGCTGCGTTCTTGGCAGCATGCAGCCTTGGCATTAGCTGAGGTGGTATCTCTTCTCCCAGAGAAGTCCCCAGCGAGGCCACGGCTGGTTTGCCGGTTCTCCCCAGCAGCATTTCTTGGGACAACTGTGTATATCAGGAGGCTGCTGTTCATACTAGTTTTCTGTAGGAAATGTAAAAACCGCATCTGTTTCCCACCTCAAATATGTTCCTCATATAATTTCATCAGTCTTCCTCCATCACTGCATTGGTCAGACAACGGGAGCTTCTTTCCTGTGTGCCGAGACTTCTCTCTTGGGATCTGTTCCCGCAGGAGTTTATCTGTGGGTGCTGTGATGGAGTCAAAGATACTCGTCCTGTTCTGATCTGTGTTGCTTGTGCGGAGAGCAGCAAAGCTGGAGCTTGTGCACAGCCCTTGTCCTGGATGCTGTAGGGGTTTGTGAACTTGGAGCTTACCACCAGGATAGCCTTTGAGGGTGATGAATGGAGGCTTTCAACCGAGTTGTGATCAGGCAGTTGTGGCTGCCTTCTGGGAGAATAAACACCCCGTCACACCTCGTGACTCCTCTCTGAGTCACAACAAAGTGGGCTGGCAAGTGGGTCCCCACAAAAGCATGATCCTTGCCCCTGAGCAGCACCACTCACTACCCTCCCGGGTCAAAAGCATCTACCTTACAGGGAGGTGCAGCCAGTATGGGGCTGCCGGCCCACCACTGACCATTTCCAGGGTACTGGCTCTGCCTCTTCCATTTACAAACCTAATGCTCTTTTTTTAATGGTAGTAACAAGAGGTGTAGGTTCAGTGGCAGATGGTTACTAAGGTATTCAGGTGCTTCTCGTACGCTTTGTACTGAAAGAGCAATCAGCCTACGCTGTGCACAGTGTTAGCAGTACAACCAGATGTTTTTAGTGTATCTTGCTGTAAATATTCTGGTTTTAAACTTTCAGTGCTGGGATGGGTAAGCAGCTGTGACAGCCTGCGTTAGGAAATGTTTATACAGGAGCCAAACTTCCCAACACATTTCACATTTTATTTCTTTAGCTCCACTTTTATTTTTCCATGTGTTTTGATAATTCCTTTGCATGTCTCATAATTATCACTGTTCTATTTTTGTATCAAATTGAAAACAAAACAGCCAATAACATGGTAATGCTTTACCATTTTTCTTTTATTCGGTGCCTACTGAGGATAATAATATTCCTATGCTGCTTGTTTAAACAAACAAAAAAAAAGCTGCTATTACTGTTTAGAAGCAGGCTGCTGCTTTCTTTTTCCAGCCAGCTGCATTTTACAGACTTGAGCTCTGCTGCTAGTCCGTGCTGTGTGTTGTGGGGCAGAAATCATCCAGCTTAGCTTCACCTTCTCCCTGGTGTCTCTAGAGGGTGGGGTGGGACCTGCTGGCTAAATGCACCTTAGAATGGAGCAGAGTTTAGGGGAGGAACTGCAATAACAGACAGGAAGAAACTCTTGTAGGCATCTTTTCTAGATCATCATTAAATGGGCTCGGTTTTAGCATAGAAGTTCTTAAGAGATAGACATGTCAGAAGGAAACTGATACTGCTGAAGTTAAACAAAAGAATCTAATTATGTTTCTAGCTCTTTGAACTTTTCTTCTCCTTGTGGGATTCATAACTAACCATAGTCTGGTGGGTATCATTTTATGCTACTGTCTAGCACATTCACTTCACTTGGTAAAGGTTATTTTTGCATATATAGTTATTGCATCCTGCCAAGATGCTGTGTCATGGAGAACTATGACTTCATCTTTCACTCTGCAGTTCAGAGAGGACATTTTTACAGTATGCAGTTTCAAGAAATGTTTATCCATATCAAAGTTTACATATATCAAGTCCAGTCTTTTAAGACTTGCAGTCATGTTTCTTGTCCAGGGTCCCAAGGGAGATGCTGCTAAGTGATGAGATGGTGTCATTGCTGGTATCAAGTCTCCTCTTACCCCCTGCTCCTGCACTAAAGAGAGCATCTCAAGAGTTAGAAGGTTCACATCTCTCATCTCAAAGCCTGTGCACAGCAGGGAGTGGCTTTTGGTGTGTGTCTGTCAGCCAATATCAGTCTAGAAAGGTGAGCAATAAAAAGTAGAGGAAGAGCCAGCAGAACCCACGAACAGCTGAGTCTTTTCATCTCACTGACTCTAAAGAGCATAGTGAAGTTGAGCCTAGTCAGTGCCACATAAACTAAACTATCCTGCAGAAAATCCAAGCCAAGGCCTCTTAAATAGAAGCAATCTATAGAAGAACAAATCTTCTAAGGTCCCAAATGTAATGCAAAACCATACGTCTTACTCTCAAATATGCCTATCACAGTATATAAGTCTTTATTACATTGGTTGAACCAAAACTAAAAGCCTGTGTTCCTTAATAGAGAAAACTGGATTAATAAGGTGTTAATTGACATAGATACTTGATTATGTTTTTATATTAATTTATCTGTCAGTATTTTCTATAGCAGAATGCAATCTTGTATTGTTTTCAAACATAGAATAATTATTTGGTGTATTCATTGCGACAGCAACTGTAAAAAAAAAGTACAAAGTTAAACAGGCAATATTTTGGAGAAGAAGAAAATATTTTCAGGTAATCGTATGGATGCCAATTGTAAGGATGTAATGGGTTCTTCAAGTCTTTAATATCCTTAATATGAGACTGGATGTCACCAGAAGAGACAGACTTGGAAGATGGGGTGCAGAGGGTCCATCTTAGAAGGTGTTAGCAAAGGATTAACCACCTTTCCAAGGTGCCTGTCCCTCCTCACTGACTCTGGAGGAAGCACAGGAGCAATGCTAACACTGCCTGAGATTAATCTCTGCCTAGACAGTATGTTATTGTCTCTTCTTTTAAAAGCGGTGTAATTACACATACATTTGAAGTTCATGTCTCTGGCCAACATTGTCTGCTTTAAGAGGTTAATCTCCACTGGCAGCATACAGAGGTTGTGCAGTGCCCTGTGTTTGAGAAGGGACAGGTCTTTCCTGACCCTCATGTTGATCAATTTGTACAGCAACATTAAACCTAATTACTTAGTCTGGTCTCTGAAGCATACCAACATGGCCTGTCTCACATGTTGTGTGTGAAGATGCTTTGGATGAACACAAATATTTTCACAATATTTTTTTCAAAACTATCTTCATTTGCATTACTAATGATATTGGGGGCAGTGTAAACAAGAGGAGGCTATGATCTCTTAGCACCATGTTCATAATCTTAAATGCCTTCATTAACTTTGTTCTAAACCCATGCAAGAGATTTAGCAAAGAAGATAAGCGGCAAATTAATATATTGCTTTACTTGTACATTTGAAATGCATGCAGCCTGATACGGTACTTAGGGCTTAATGTATATCATCATCATCGTCATTCACCAATTTATTTATATATACTGCCGTAGCACCCGGAGGCTCAGTGTATTTGTTTTGTGTGGTGAAGTTTGGGTAGCAGGGGAGGGGCTACAGGGGTGGCTCCTGTGAGAAACTGCTAGAAGCTTCCCCGGTTCCAGGTCGGACCCACCTCTGGCCAGGGCCAAGACCAGCAGCACCTCTGTGAATAACATATTTAAGAAGGGGCAAAGAAACTTGTGCCAGGTGGAACCAGCAGTGGAGAGAGGTAGAAGGTGCAGGCAGCTGTCTGTGGTGTCTCTCCTGGCAGGGAGGTAGATGGCAACTGTGGCTTGGAGCGCTCCAAAGCACCTTGCTCCTGGCGCACCCACTGAGTGGAACTTGTCCTTCTGGGGCTGCCAGAGGTCATCAGGCCAGTTAGGTCCAGCACGGCTGCAGCAGAGGAAGGAGTGAGATGTGAGGGAAACGACTATGTTGACACCAAGGTCAGTGAAAAAGGAGGAGGAGGAGGTGCGCTGGAGCAGAGATTACCCTGCAGCCTGTGGAGATTAATGGTGGAGCAGGCTATGCTAGAGCAGGTGGCTACATCCAAAGAAGGCCATGACTCTGTAGAAAGCCTGTGCTGGAGCTAGAGATTAATGCTATGCTAGAGCAGGTGGCTACATCCAAAGATGGCCATGACTCTGTGGAAAGCCTGTGCTGGAGCTAGAGATTAACGGTGGGGCAGTCTGTGAAGATCTGTGGCCGTGGAAGACTCCACGCCAGAGCAGGTGACTGTGCCTAAAGAAGCTGCAACTCTGTGGGAAGCCCACACTGGAGCAGTCTCTTGGTGAAGGACTGCACCTCATGAGATGGACTCACATCGGAGAAGTTCACGGAGAACTGTCTCTCGTGGGAAGCGACTCCACATTGGAGAAGGGGAAGAGTTTGAAGGGTCCTCCCCATAAAGAGGAAGGAGCAGCAGAAACAACGTGTGACGTACTGATCTACAGCCCCCATTCCCTGTCTCCCTGCACTGCTGTGGAGAGGAGATAGAGCCAGGAAGAAGGGAGGGATGGGAGAAGGTGTTTTGAAGATCTGGCTTTGTTTCTCATTATCCTCTCTGATGCGATTTGCAACGAATTAAATTTGACTTTTCGTCAAGTCTGTTTTGCCCATGACCGTAATTGGTGAGTGATCCCTCCGTGTCCTTGTCTAAGCCCTCAAGCCTTTTGTTGTATTTCCTCTTCTCCATCCCACTGACAGGGGGAGGAGTGAGTGAGCTGCTGCATGGTGCTTAGTTGCTGGCTGGGCCTAAACCACGACACTCAGTGCCTCTGAGAGAACAAGCAGGGAAGGAAAAACTGGTGGGATGGAGGAGCTGTGGATAAAGAAGTAAAGTTGAGCCTGGGGAAAAAAAGGGAGTGGGTGAGGGAAGGTATTTTAGATTTTTTGTCTTTGCACCTTACCATCCAACTCTATTTTAATTGGCAATAAATTAAATTAATTTTCCACGAGTCAAGTCTGTTTTGCCTGTGGTGGTACTCAGTAAGTGATCTTCCTGTCTTTGTCTTGACCCATCAGTTTTTTCATCTTTTCTCCCTCTGTTCTGTTGAGAAGGGAGAGTGAGAGAGTCAACTCACCACAATTAGTTAAAGTTTTGGGCCATTGGGTGACACTTTTGGTGACAGAGTACAAGGTAGTACAAGAAAGATGAGGATGAGTTCCCTCTATCTTTGTCTCAGTTCCCCAAAGCTTTCCTCACTGTACTTTCTGTTAAATTTGCTTTTCTTCATAGGAGATGTGTTCCAACCTCTGATCATTTTCATGGCCCTCACTTTTGTTATCACAGACTGTTGCCAGTTGCCAACTGAGGGAGAAACTTGAGCTGACCAACCTCATCTCCCTCTGGAGTCCATCAATGCCCCTTCCTAGCTAACCAAACAGATAATAACAGACACACTTTGCCCAGTGAAGAGCACTTAAGAGTTTAGCTTTCAGCTTGATATGTAAATTCTGGTATTGTCATTTTTGAGGGAAACAAAAGAACAAAGAGAAATGAGCGAAAAAACTCCATAACACATATATTTCATTTAATAAGTATTCTTTTTTTCTCTGGGAATAAGGACAGAACACAGAAGTAGTTTAAAAGCCTTGCTTTACAATGCTTTGTGGATGGGATCTATAATAACACAGTTCTGCAGTGTTGAAGTGAAATTCTTAATATTGTGTTCTGTTTCATGAATTAATTTAATTTGTTATTGTTTGCTGAAGAGCTGGAACTATGCCAGGAGCCTGAATCCAGACTCAACCAACATGTGTGTGCACTGTATAAAGAAACTGGGTTGAGCTCAGAGCCAGATGCTGTGGACAGAGCTGAGCAGAATGTGGAGGCTGGGAGGGCCTGCTCATAGTGGGTGTTAGAAACAGACTTGCACCCAGATGCTGTAGACAGAGAAGTGGACTTAATAATCACTTCTAATTAGTGCCCCCGTGAGCCTCTGATTAGAAACCCAGCACAGCTGAGAGCATTGCAGGTGCTTTGAATTCTACCTTCTGGGAACTGTGGAGCATGTTTCAATTTCCAGTGTCCATGTTACTTTATGATGAAGGATATGAACATAACAAGGTACAGGAAATATCTCAGAGAGTGAATTTAGGTATGACATAGACAGCAATTTCCCCTTCATCTTGTTGGAGCTGATAAGAGGACAAAATCGGGGCTTGCAAAGCCACAGGTGGAGGGAGCCGAAAGGAGCTGCACCGTATTAATATATAATCCCCTATGTTTGAACACACACATATGCAGCTGTCTCTTAAGAAAAACACGGTTTTTCTTTGCAGGCCTCCAGCCATAGTTTTTGCTTTCTTGGCATCTATGAATCTGGCTAAGAAGTGTCAAAGGGGATGAGATGTCAGCACAAGGACAGCAATGATTTGTACAAGGCAAGAAGAGAAACCCATAAACTTTCCATAATGGAGCTGGAGTTTTATTACTTACAGCTCGTCTATACAGTGGTGCTTTAAATGCATTAGCAGCAATTCTTGGTGTAATAAAGACATTGTTATAGCAATATGAAAGTGCTTAGATCCTCGATGTGGGGTCCCATCCTCACCTAGCTATTTATACTTGCTTCCAGTTGTAAATCTGGGTAGCTTAAAACCAGCAGTAACTACTCCTCTGACCAGGACAGTTTTAGCTGTGTAACTTCTAAAGTCAGAGATCTGTGCTACACAAGGAATCTTTGCTGGGAGCAAAGTTGTGATTCAAACAGCATCTGAAGTGTTTGAAAGTGCTCTAACCTGGGGACGTACTTGGGAGTCCAGCTGATCTTAACTTTGTTTTATGTAGCATGATTCGTGACATCAGTGTAACATTGGGTTTTTTTTCCTCATAGGTTGGCTGGATTAACTGGCTGTCATTCAGAGGGAACTTGACAGATCTATTTTGCTTTTGTTGAACCCTTCTACTTCACGTCATAAAGATTTCCTAAGTCCAGAGGCTGCACGAAAGATGACTGAGCAGCACAAAAATGTGACTCTGACAAGAGACCAAGCTTTCTGACGAGGAATTTTCTACTGATGAGTTTGTAATTTAAATGTATAACTGAAGCATGCATAATAGTTAACCTGATAGGGGAAAAAAAAGCTTTCTCATTAATTAAGACTGCCCAAAAGGCAGTCACCTGAAGCTTCAAAATGAGTGCGCCGTTAATACCAAACAAGTCGTGTTATACCCAGCTTCAGGACAACTGCAGCGAAATAAAAAATAACAATGAAAGCATAGTGAGTGTGGGGGATACCAATGCCAACCAAATTGTGGCAAAAGTTAGAACCACTGAAGAGGATGTTAAGAAATGTGATTCGACAGATGAGAGAGGGAATACGGACTCTGGAGGTTCAGAGAAAGTTACTCATCTGAATACAGAGCAGAATAAACTTCTGAACTTTAAAGACTCTCGGACTTGTCACACTGGTGTACATGAAAGTAAGCTGCCCTCCACCACAAGCAGGGAAATGGGGAAAGTTTGTAGGACCAGCGAAGCTAAGGATATATCAAGGCACATCAGGATTAGCCGAGGACAAAGTCTGTCCAATTTAAAAAGTAGCACAAACGATGGCAGCCTGGGGGTTATTTCCAAAGGTGATGTTGACTTCACCCAGAACATTTCTAAGGGTAAAATGTCCAGGACTGTAGAGATGGAGAGAATAAAAAGGCTTTCTTTGGGAAGATCAAGTAAATTTTCTCCTCAATCTGAAACATTTGCAAAAGACTGCGTTGGCCGCGTGTCGTGTAAGCGTCTGCTTTCTGCATCATTAGACTCCATTGACAGGTCGCATCATTTGATAGGAAATACAGAGAAATCACAAAAAATATCCACGGACCATTTTCTTGGGATGGTGTTTCATCCACTTGAAAATACCTCAGAGGAAAATATTGTATTTTATTCCAAATCACCTACCTCAGGGAACAAGAAAATAAGTAAACCAGAAAATGTACCAAATGTTAACATTGAAAGCACACTGCATACTTCACATTTTCAACATTCAACTGTTAAGCCCAATGAGATTGTTAGTAAATCAGAAGCACAATTAGGTCAGGGGGATAGAAGTAAAAAACTGGAGCTTAAGACTGCACCATCTCTACAATCTAGAAGTACCTGTCAACAAAAGATTGAGAGAATTATGCTGGTAGAGTTCCTGGGATGTCAAAAAGATGAAAATACAGCAATGCAGGAACAGAAAGGCTCTGGGTCTGACTCATCAAAATTTCAAGCATGCCATTTTCAAGACACCTGTAATAAAGTAGAGGATCCATTGTCAAGCCAGGTGGTAACCTATCCTGGTGAAAAATTGCTAAATGATAACATCACCATTGATGGGGAAGGGAGAAGAAGCAATGACAGTGACAACAGGGCGGCTAGCCAGGTTGGTGAGGAATATTTTGCTGACAAAGAAGTGGAAACAACATTCCCACTCACCTGCGATAGTAAATCCAGTGGCAAAGTGACACCTAGAAAAAATGAGAATTTACATGAAGCTGACGCAGGTTGCGCTGAAGCAGTTGGTGAACAGATATCTCTTATACATAACATTAATCTACCTGACAGCAAACCCTTCAAAGTTAATGAGAATAAACTGGCACTAGTCAAAGGAAACACCGAGGATGCTGCCGTACCTGCTTCTGATCTCTCAGATCAGCACGGAACACGCAGTGCCGAGACAGTGTCGAACCAACAACCTGACGGTCATGACGGTGATGTGGAAGCCTCAAGCTTTTCAGTTCCAAGTAAAAAGACAGCCACTGCACAGAAACATCCTCCAGATGAAGCACCAGAGAGCTATAAGGTTTTGACAAAGGCTGATGCCTTTTTATGTGTCCCAACTCCCGTGCGCCCAGTGGCAACGCTGGATGTTAATAGTCAGCCCACGCTATCAAACAGTAATTTGAAGGACCTTTATGCACTTCATGTTGACAAACTGTCCCCCTCCTCAGTCCTACCTCCCATTGACAGTACGCAGTTGTTAAACATAACCCCTAAAGTGCCTATCAAGCCTGCTTGCAGCAGCGCCATCCCAAAACCTATCCTCGTCCACTCCAAGGGCTCCCTCGCAGATAAGGCGGATGTGGACAGTGACTCCAGTGAGAAGCTGGAAGAAAGCATTGAGATGAAACCTGCCATACCCAGGCCCAAACCTGTGAGACCTAAAATCATCACGTACATTAGAAGAAACCCTCGTTCGATAGAGCAGCTGGAGCCTTCGTTTGCACCGGCAGGGCTGCCTTTCGGTACCCCTGCGTGTGGCGTGCCCATCTCTACAGAGCAGAAGGTGTCCAACGGAGGGGAGGCGAAGCCCCCCAGCATCCTGTATGACAAATTTAAACCTGACCTCCAGAAGCCAAGACTCTTCAGTTCTGGACTGGTGGTGTCAGGAATTAGGCCCCCAGGCCATCACTTCGGTCCGATGGGTGAGAAGTTTCTGCAGGAGGTAAGGAGGCAGCTTTGACAGCCTCTTTTGTAAGCCAGGTGGTGATAATTTGCTTACTTATTGGTGCCAGGAGTTAGTTCTCAAACCTCAAATAAGAAATAAATCCTAAATCAAGGCAAAGTGTGATCATTAGAAATAAACTTATTTAACCATTTCTGGCGCTGACCCTGTCACAACGTCTGATCTGTGACTGGAAGTCATCACTGTGGTCCTCCAGTTTTTTCCCAGAAAACCAGTTACCTGCTAGTAGTATAAATGAGGATGTTTAGAAAGGAAAAGACACGCTGTTTGAATTTATCCATAAATTGAATTTCTTTTTTTTTTTTTTCCAAAGAATAGCTTTGGGAAATGAATGTAATTTGCCCACAGAGACTTTTTCTCCTTAATGGGAGAGTTGACAGGTTTTTGTAGACAAAGTGCTAGAGGTCTAAACTAATTCCCTTCTGTTTAGCTGTACTGAAACCCAGGGACTATCAGAGCTCTTGTTAGATTATATGTATCATGCAGGAAAAGATTTACTTTTGAGTAATTTTAAAGCCATATGTTATATTGACCTACTTCTTCAGTAAGAAATCTCATTTCCCTGGAAAGTCTTCCTGAGAAACCAAAAGGTGATGGAGGTCCCTCTGGCCAGTTCTGACTCCTGATACTGTGTTTCCACCTTGATAAGTTGAACAGGAGTCTTGGTTCCCTGAAATCCCTGCTGGGAGGTGAGAGGAGTGGAGGAAAGTTGGCCTTGATTGGAAGGTGGAGAAAGGACAGGGAGGAGGGAGCTACGTTCATATCTGTGATGTGCCCTTGTGTCCGCTGCTTGGGACTTGTGGTAGCTCAAAAGCCAAACTTTTTATATAAATACTGAATATATTCATACAAGTCATACAAGTATATTTCATTTGAACCAGTGTTTTTTAAAATTTTTTAGAATTTTATTTTTTTTTCTTTTTTTTCTCTGTGTCTGATGGTGTTATTGAGGCTATTTTAGTGCCCACCTCATCCTACATACAGTATTCATCCAAGGAACATCACTGAAATAAATTTGGTGACAGTGTTGATAATCAAAAGCCAGAAAATAGCCAAAGTAAGATATGTGTGAGTGTAGATTGACCCTTATGGCATGTTAAGAGGCAACCTACTGAAGTGATCATGGATTATATGTTTTATGTTATATGCTCTATTCATAGAGCAGCATCTCATCCCAAACATAGAAAGGGCAGCGATCTCTGTCCTTTCCCCCCTAAATTCAGTTTCAGCAATGTCCCTTATAGTTTACATCCAGAGGAGGAATTATAAAAGCCATTTTGAACTTATCTATGCCAGTCATTATTAGTATATCTTTACAATCACATTGTAAGGTGAGGGAAAATTACTAGGTTATTACCGTTTAATGTATGGCTATGGAAATTAAAGCCCAAATAACCCAGACTGTACGGCTCTTTGGCTGTTTATAGGGTGACGTGACCCCCTGAAGACCATAGGTGTCTATGGCCCATACACTTGGGGTTCAGATAATTAGGTAGGATCAGCAGACACATCTGGGAGTAAAGGACCAATTTCTGTGCACCACTGAGGACTGTTCTTAACCTGAGAAGGACTCAGGCTGTGGCATGTCTGCAGCATGATTTACTCTAGACTAGGGTTAGAAGGAGGACAGTTATGGGCTGGAGAAGATCCAAAGCATCTTCCGCTGCTCATCCAAGAAATATATATGACTTTGGGTGGGTATTTCAACAAGGGAAGGTTTGAACCCGAGCAAGCTGCTTCTTCAGAGACGCTGGATTGCCTGGCAGAGAGTCTGGGAAGGAAAAGTCAATCAAACTGCAGTTTGTGGTATGAGTTTGTGTTAGCCCAGGAGTCAGGAGCTGATAGCAGAGGGTGGTGTTTACTCTTTTGGGCTACCACTCTAAAAGCAATTACCTTACTCTCCTGCTAGTTAGAGGAATGCAGAGGGGACTGATTTGGCTCCAGTATGGATCAAAAGAAAGTAAACTGATTGATCCATGGAAGTGGAGAGATGCTTAGAAGAGCAGCTGTGCACAGTATGGGTTTGTGGCAGATGACTGATGTGTAATATGAAATAAAGCAATTAGGATGGGTTGAGATAGATCAAAATCACCCTGGTGAAGGGACAGTGTTGAAGACTCAGAGATTTTGGAGACAAGGAGATGCTGAGGCAGGATGGGTACTCTGCATTACCTTTGTGAGGGAAAAAATCCCAGTGTTTCCTTATTTCACACGTCCAAAGGGCTTTGATTAGCATTTTATATCTCTTTACATAGCTATGTTAGGGAGTGTTAATAGCTGTTATCAATCAGACCAGTAATCTCCATGCACCCTTCAGCTAGCTAAATGGCAGGAACAATTAAATACCCCTCTGGGTACCATGGGCTGGAAAAACTTGGAAGGTGCTGTCTCAGACAGGAGACTCCAAGGCAAGGCCTGGAGAGCTGTCTGAGGAAGATTCGAGGGCTACCACCGCGCAGTGAGGAGCCTGCAGGGCTTCTTGAGCTGCCTGTGCTAAGACCCTAGTAGGGCGGCTCAGACAAAAATCGCAGCTCAGGCGTGAAGGCAGTCCAGCTGCGCTTAGGGACTGCGTCCATAATGGAATTGAGTTAAGGTTAAATGGGCAGCCTTGTCTGTGGCATTGGTGGCTTCTCAAGTGCTTTTCTTTGGAACCAAAGCATTGTGTGGTGGTAGATCTTTCATGCCTGTCTTTGTCCAAAAAAAAAGTAGAAAATCCCTGACAGTGAAATGCTTAAAAAAAACAATCATTGTCCAGGGCAGATTGCTGCTGTCCACATGCTTTGTCACAATGTGGGCTTCCCATCTATACATGGACTTCAGCCTCTTCCAGTCAGCACCAGTGGGAATTTGTGGCCGCTTTGTGTTCCCAGTTACCTCTATGAGAAGTAACAGAGCAAACCACGGGACCCAAAGGCTGTTGCTGTGCTGGCGAACTAAACAGTGGGAGGACATGGCCTCCAAGGCTCACACAAGGTTGTCTATACTGCTGGACTGAGAACAAACTCTCCACCTCAGTGTCTACCTCTGTTAGTGTGTACTCACCCAGAGGCTGTTCCCAAGGACCAGCATGGATGAGACCAGCCTGGTCTGCAGGGTGAGAGTTTACCTGTATGGATATGGTCTGTGCCTTGCCAGAGAGTGGTCCTTGGTTCACTTTATTCACTACTGTATGGCTGCTGCCGAGAGCTCTGGTTCTGGTGGGGGTCTGTAAAGAGCTCTGATGATTGCCAGCTCTCCTGCCTGCTTCCTCAAGGCTGCACCTGCCCTGTTCAACCACCTCCTCGGATCCGTTCCCCAGCACAGACATCTTTCTAATCCCAAGAGCCTGGACTAAAGCCTGTTGTAATGAAAGATCTGTAGGGGAAAAAGGGGTAGAGTTGTTTCATACACAGTCAAACCAGCAATTTTTTCCCCCTAATCTCATTATCTGAACTGCTTCAACCATTGTCACCAACTCTTTTCTCAAACAGCTGTCTGAAGACAAGAATTTTCTTGACAAGAAAATTCTTGCTTGAGGCATTAATGTTTGATGATGTTATAAACAAAGTAACATGAAGGAAAGTGTTGGGCATCCTTACATGCTGCCTCTGCTGCCAACTCTGCACAGGATTACCCAGCCTGTGGAAATTCCTGTGTGCTCCAAGTATTTGCTGCAGACTTTCCAGCTCTTTCTAACAAGTTCATTAAATGGGGCGAGTGGGGAATGAGCAGACAGCCACACACAATAAAACTCTGAGCTGAGCTTCTTTTTAGTTGTCAGGCTGCAACAGACCTTTTCTTTAAAAGTCCCTTGTACAAAAGTCTAGTACAGGGTGCTAACAGGTTTCATATTAATCCACATCTTTCTGAAGATCTTTAAAATGACCTTATAATCAATAATCACACCTGATTCTATTGAGAGGAGTTGAATTATACACTTCATTAACTCACTCTTAAATAGCAAAGAGAAGGGAGTGTGTCTTCAAAGCAAGTTTATGTCCCCAAAATTGGGCTCTTCAAGAGATAGTTGGGTAAATCTTTCACTTCTCTCAGCTTGAGAAGATGTTTTATGCTTGTGATTGATTGGTTTTGTGTGCAGATGTGTGGGTCTTCTGTTATTCATAGCATACTGTCAATAAAGAAAAAAATAAGGTAACTGAAGGTTTGGCTAAGCTGACCCAGTTTATGAAAAATGCATGGTTTCTATATTTAAAGATTTTCTTTATGCCTTATACTGAAGTACTCAGCACTGGTATGTTCATTGCCAGTTAAATATGAAATGGTAGGGAGTGTATAGTGAAATCTGATTGAAATAAATTCATCAGAGAGAGAAAAGATAACTAAATCTTATCCAGGAAAACAATCTCATATCCAGAAGTTGAAAATAAGCAAAATATCTCATGCAGTCTAAGCCTAGAGAATCACCTGTACAGTAAAAACCTGCATCCTAACTTGTAGAAATAGGTCATATGAATATAATAAAAAATAAAATGGGAAGATCTAATGGCAGGAAAGAGGACTGCAAAAAAGGAAAAAATATAAAGCAAAAATATAATGCTCAGTGTTTGTCACATCTTCCCTCCTAGTTCCTGTGCAAAGGCCTCAAAGATTCTATATTTAATCGTTTAAGGCCAATTGTGTCTCTTTTAACATATTAAAGATTTGTTAAATTAGAATTAAAGCTCTTGAAGCGTTCAGGATCAAAGCTTTTATAGTCAATGTTGAAGTGCATATTCTAAATGCTTATAATTGCTAAATAGAAATTGATTTGGCATATTATATGCATCATAACTTACAGCAGAGTTAATTAATTGGCAGTTACATTTCTTCCTAGGTAGCCTATGGCACTTTTTTGATTAATTTTTAAACAAACTTAGTTCAGATTTCCTATTTCCTAAGCCCTTTTTTTCCTCTGGCCTAAATGGGATGCACTGAAAAAATATTCATGGGTCCTTTCTAAATTGTGATGATTTTACATTTTATAAGAAAACTGTAAAGAA